CTAAATTAATCTAAAAATTGACATACAAGACTTATATAAATAAAACTTTCAATTCAATGGTAAGTTTTTTAAAATATTCATTAAAAATTGAGTTTTTAAATAAGTTCTCTAAAAAATATTAAAAAGACAATTTGTAAAACACCTTTTTGTTATATGTAACACACATACACCTCTTAATGAATTATGTAACAAAAGATAGCTTCCTTTAAAAAAAAAAACCAAAAAAAAAAAAAAAAAACAGAAAACAAAAACTCTACTAATTTCGCTAAAGGTAAGAAAAATAAACTTTTAAGTTTGTTTTACCAATTTCTTCCTAGGGTTTTGTTTAGTTGGGAGAAACTTTCCCTTTTATTAGGATTGTTTATATATTTTTATATCTCAATACTACAATAAATATAGGGTAAAAATAATATTTTTAGTTTTTATTTTCTCAACACAATTTTCGATCATTAAATTCCAGAAAAAATGTATAAATAAGAATGCTAATTTTGCACTTTTTTATTTAAAGATATTAATTTTGTTAGTTTTTAAATAATGATGTTAACTTTTATTTTTTTTATTTAAGGATGTTAACTTTTAATTTTTTCTATCTATAGATAATAACTTTCAATTTTTTCTATTTAAGGTTAGTTGGATGAAAATGCTAATGTGGCAAATGAATTTTTTAACTGGAGTGTTAAAAGTGGGTACCCTTAAATTAAAAAGAAAAATTAGAAGCTGACATTCTTAAATAGAAAAAGTTGAAAGTTGATATTTTTATTTAGAAATTGACAAAATTAATATTTGTAAATAAAAAAAATAAAATTAACATCCTTATTTACATCTTTTCTCTGAAATTCCCAATCATTAAACTTTTCACTCTTTTTTAAAAGGAAATCTAACTTTTTTTATACAAAACGACTTCATTTAACAAATCATCTACTAACTTTCATGTTTTTTTCAGTTTCGTCTATTATCTAGGGATTCTTCCAATCTTGTCTACTATCTTTCAGATTCATTTCAATTTCATTTAGTTTGTTATCTTTGGCGAAAAACTTCCTATTCTATTAGACAACAATTAGTCCTCTAACTATTTTTGTTTTGATCTTTTAGTTCTCAAATTTATATTTGCTGTAAAAACAGCTTTTATACTTAAAATTACTGTTTCTTGGCTCTGATACCAGATTTTTCTACGGGTTTTCAGAACTTAACTCAAACTACTACTGACTAATGAATAGTTGGTATATTAAGCTCAGTTAGTGCGAAATTAAATCTACTAGACTGCTAACAAAGATAATCTTTTTTAATCTTTTTAGATCTTCATTTAGATCTACAACTATTTGCTTCAACTTTTTGAGATTCTTAGATAGATGATAATCATCTTCAATATTACTTATTTTTTCTAAAATTTTTACTATTTTATTTCTATAATATTCGCATTGCTACTTATAAACTATCTTATCTACAACAATTTTTTGAATAAAATCAAGTATCTTAAATTATAATGGTTTAATATAAAATGAATTTTTCTATTCAAAATATAAGAGGTCATGTACTATTTTCCCATCATTACTCATCTCAAAAATAATCTAATATTAAAAAATAATAAAGTTGTTTCTATGCCCACCTTGCTTCCACATGATAAAATAAATGAGTTAGAATTTTACCTGAAAATCCTTTGGACTAACCTTCAATCAAGCAAATGCTTCCTTTGTCCAACCCTTAATGCCAAATTGAGGTTAAAATGGGTATCCGGACAAGACAAGTGACTTTACTGTTGCCTCAGTTTTTTTAGTATTCTTCTCATTTTATTTTATGATGAAAATAAAGAAGGATAGAAACACAAGAATTATTCTAAAACATAATTTTATTTCTGAGAAAAAAAAGGGAAAGTTCCCTTTCCTTTTGAAGGGTGTTTACAGATGCATAGTTGAAGGCTTTCAGGTAAAGTATTTGGATATTCAAATGCCTGATACCTCTTACAGCTTATAGGAGGCTTTTTATAACGCTCCTTAGAATCTTTTCTTTCATAATTGCTGACAATTAAAGTTTACATTATTGTCTAGTGATCCAGACTTACTTTTTGCTTTTGCTAAAGCAAATTACATGGAATCTTGCAAACACTCTTCTTTTTCTTTAGTGACATAAATGCTTACATCTTTTTGCATTGGATTCTTCAGAGGATGATGAGATCCTCTTCACTGTCTGAGGGGGTGGTCTCTTCGTCACATGGGACTTCAGCTTTTCCTTTTGCAAATTCTTTTTTGTAGCAAAAACCACAATGACTGTCATGCTTTAACAACTTGCATAGTCTATTATGGGCTGCTTTACTGGCTGGGACTAGATTTTCAAAGATTTCCTTTCTTTTCTGCTTTATTTTGAACAAGTTAATGCTTGTTATTAATCTTGCACCAGTGGATACCACCGAGATTTCTTTAGAGAAGCCATATGTCCATGTCTTCCTCATTTCTATCATTCTATCAAAGGTTTGGAGTAAAACCTTGAATAATAGAGCTCATCTCTCTTAGATGAACTCAATCCCACAAAGAGACTCTTCAAAGTCTTGAAAATTTTGATCTTCATTTGCTTTTACCTTGATCTTCTTATACTGAATCCCAATTTGAACTATATGATGACTAAGGAGATATTGAGATGTCTCCCATTTCGGTGCTGTAAGGTATATTTTGACAAATACTACCCCTTGAGCTTTGATGCTATTTTTGAAGTCTTCTACTCCTTGGTGTATAACTTTTGGAAGTTCTGAAACTTCTTCATTATCCTTTAAGAGATAAATGTAGTTTACAAAATCGTAATTGAATAACTATTTATTGCTTTTGGGTTTGCACCGTATATGAAATTAATTCTGGGATAAATCCCTTCATGGATAGGATGGCAATTCTCAATGGACCTCATTGAATATGCCATTTTACAAACTCTGCGGTATTCCTACAGATATCCTTCACTCATTGTCATTTTTTACAAGGTGTCTATTATTGTAGCTTTCTTTTCTTTCTTTCTTGAGTAATCAGGTCGAAAGTTATGGCTTTCGGCATTTTGAATAGTCGGCATTTTGAATAGTCGGCTTTTCAGCTTGAGACACTGATATTTTCGAGGGAGAGTATTTGACATAATAATCAAACTTCCCTGAACTTTCTCCAAGTAATCCTACTGAAGGATCACCTTGTTCAAAATTTTCTTTTAGCTCTTGTTGGGAGCTTTTCTTTACCATTTGGCTAGATTCTTTAAAGCTAATTCCGACAGTAGTAATTGCTCCGAAACTCATTAATTTTTCTATCAGCTCTTTGACCTCTTCAAGGGCATCTTGCCCCTTACTTAATAACTCATGGCCTTTAATAATCTTTTCTTAGCCTTCACCCATAAGGTTATGGCCTTCATCGATTATTTCTTGGCCTTCAATCATTTTTTCTTAGCCTTATCTTATTTGGCTATTGCTTGCAATAAGTATCTCTTGACCTTCAAGAAAAAGGTTTTTCCCTTTATTTTGAAGTTTCAAGATTGCATCCATTAGCTCATTCTCTGCTCAAAAAATCTATAAGACAATTATTAGTTCCTTTGACATGTTCAATTTCAAAATCATATTCAGCAAAGAAAGTTTGCCATCTATTTAATCTTTTATATTCCGGTGTTAAAGGTAATTTATTAAAAATAAATCCCCTAACTTGAGTATGGTCAGTTTTGACCTTAAAATGTTTTGGTAATAAGAAGAAACTGAACTTTTTTACTCCATTTTTAATAGCCAATAACTCTTTATGATTTAAATGATATCTAGTTTTTACATCTTCAAATGTACCATTAACATATCTACAAATTTTTTCTTGAAAATTTTTTAAAGTTGCTACCAAATAAAAATATGAGGCATCATATTCTAAAATTAACTCTTCATCTTCGTTAGGCAATTCTAGCCTAGGAAGGTTTTTGCAATATTCTTTTATTCTTTTCACATAATTAGTGTGATAAATTTCCCATTGTTGATTTTTCTTTTTCCTGAGCAACTTTTGCGAAAGGTGTCTTAATTGAACTAGGTTTGAATAAACTGCCCTGCATAATTGAGTATTCCTAGAAACCTTTGAATTTGCTCTTTAGACTCTAATTTATCTAGGAACATCGAAAGCTTTTCGCTAATGTGAGGTTGTAATTCTATTCCCGTGGAATCTATTGTTAATCCAAGGAACTCAATTTTGGTTTTTCCTATTTGTACTTTTTTTTCAGAAAATAATATTCCATGTTTCTTGCATAAATATGCTAATTTTTTAAGATGACATAAATGTTATGCAAATTTTTTAAGATGACATAAATGTTCTTTCTCATTATTAGAGAAGATTAGTATGTCATCTATATAAACCATGCAAAATTTCTTGATGGAAGAAAATATATTATCCATCCTTCTTTGAAATATTTGCGGCACATTTTTAAATCCAAAAGGCATTACTAACGACTCATAGTGTCCTATAGGTGCACCAAAGCCTATTAGTGGGATATTGTCAGTAGTTAGCTTAATTTGCCAAAATCCTGATTTGCAATCAAACTTTTAATACATTTTCTTTCCTCTAATGCTATTGATTAGAGTTTCTTTATGTGGTAAAAAGTAACCATTGAATTTAGTTTTGCTATTAAGTTGTTTATAGTTGACAACCATTCTAGCTTTTCCTCTTTTTAATTTATTATGATTTCTCACCATAAAGGTAGGACTACTATGTGGACTCTTAGAGGCCTATATAATTTTTTGAGCCGTTAACTCTTGAACTTGCCTATCAAATTCTTCTTTATCTTCAGGGCTATACCTCATTGGTTTGACTCTAATGATAGTTTTTGGGTCTATCAATTCGATTGTGGCATAAGTTTTATCAACTCCCCATAGTTTCTAGGATCTTCTCCATAGTTACTTCTTAATTCTTCTGAAATAGATTCTAAAGTTATTTTTCTTGTGTTTTTTCATTATTCTACAGTGCTAACACTGGTTTTTTAATCTCTTTTGATCGAGTTTTTGTATTATCTTCGCC